ACTTCATCTGATTCAGAACCCTTTGTGATTCCTAATCTTCCAGGGGAGATCAAGATGACAAGAGCCCAGGTGTCTGATTTAATTAAGGACAATATTGAAAATGACTTGACCCGGTTGCTGAAACAGTCCAAGGAAGCTGAGGTGAGGAGCTATGGGATTGTTGTCAACAGTTTCTATGAGCTGGAACCAGTTTATGCAGATTATTACAGAAAGGTGTTGGGAAAGAAGGCATGGCATATTGGTCCTCTTTCTCTGTGCAACAGGGACAATGAAGAAAAAGCATACAGGGGAAAGGAAGCCTCCATTGATGAGCACGAATGTTTGAAGTGGCTTGATTCAAAGAAACCCAATTCAGTGGTTTATGTTTGCTTTGGGAGTGTGGTCAAATTCAATAATTCTCAGCTGAAGGATATAGCACTTGGGCTTGAGGCTTCTGGGCTAGAATTCATTTGGGTTGTGAGGAAAGGCAAAGATGATGATGTGGGCAAAGAGGATTGGTTGCCTGAAGGGTTTGAAGAGAGGATGGAAGGAAAAGGGCTAATCATAAGAGGGTGGTCTCCACAAGTCCTGATTCTTGATCATGGTGCTGTTGGGGGTTTTGTGACTCATTGTGGGTGGAATTCCACATTGGAAGGAATTGCTGCTGGGCTGCCTATGGTTACATGGCCAGTGTCCGTAGATCAATTTTACAATGAGAAGTTGGTGACCCAAGTGCTGAAAATTGGAGTTGGTGTGGGTGCTCAGAAGTGGTGCATTAAAGTTGTGGGGGAGAGTGTAAAGAGGGAAGCTATTGAGAAAGCTGTGACTCAGATTATGGTGGGTGAAGAAGCAGAGGAAATGAGAAGCAGAGCCAAGGGACTAGCAAAGCAGGCAAGAAGGGCTATTGAAAAGGGAGGTTCATCACATTCTGATTTGAATGCTCTCATTGAAGAGTTGAGTTCCCAAAGGTAAAGTTGGACCTCACATACGTACAAAATGAGAGATTACTTTGATGGGGAGGGGTTGCAGGGAAGATATAGTTAATGCCATTTTGCATATCGTTTGAAAAAGAAAAGCAAAAATCAGATCTTAGGTTGATAAATTTGTAAAGGTTGATGAAAAAAATGTTTAAAATGTTTACTAGTTGTTGGGTTTTTGAAATATAGCCCCTTTGTGTTTATGGAATATGAGAAGCTGCGAGAAGAGTGATGAGTGTTGGTATGGAGCAGCGGAGATGAGAAAGCAAGAAGAGGGAGCGCGTCAACAATTTTTTTTTCTTTCGAATCGAATAATTGGTCAATACTTGTTCTGAATTTCAATTTAACAAACTTCATAGTGGAAATAGAACATGTCTTTGTTTTCATCTCATCTTTTAGAAAACTTGCATAGAGGTGAATCAAAATTTGTACAGACATTGCTTTTAGGGTTATAATTTAAAGTCCAAAAAAGAGAAAGATGAATACAAAAGCAAAAAATGAAGCGATATGGCCAATTTGTCGATAATTGAGGGGGACATGAATAGATTTATCTATTATAAAAGTTTGAGGGAAGAAGAACCTCTCGAGTTTCCCATGTGATTTGAAGGTGGCGTCTGGCGGTGCACCTTTCCTCTTCTCCGCTCGTCGGCCTCCGGAGAGCGGTGGGCCGACTATAATTTCTTCCATGAACGCTTCTTGCAAGTGACCCAGATCTAATGATCAACTTCCTAATGATGAGGTGTGTTTGGACCAAATTGAGGAAGGCCCACATGTGCCTCCAATAAATTTTAAAGATACGCTTCATAGTTCTGCTATTTTTGAAAAGCCTATTGGCGCTTTTTCTGCTGCTGCTACGGAGGAAGATCAGTTGGTCATTCAAGATGGGGATTTTGAAGTCTCTGAGTCGGCAAATGGTCCGTCGATTCGTTTCTCAGAGCAAATTAAAGAGAAGTTGTACAGACCTTCGCAGAATTCTATCATTATTAAGTTTGTTGGGTGCACTCATACTTACAGTTTTATTTTAGCTCGATTGAAGCAATGGTGGCAACTTAAGGGGCCAATGCAGCTAATTGATCTGGCCAATGATTTTTTCATTGTCAGATTTTTGCTAGAAGAGGATTTGAACTATGTCCTTACTGGGGGACCATGGGTCATTGCTGGGCAATACCTTACGATGCAAAAATGGAGGCTACATTTTGACCCAGAATTGGAGCAGATATCTAGACTGACTATATGGGCACGCCTCTCTATGTTGTATGTTGAGTATTTCACTAAAGAGGCAGTGAAACCAATCGGAGATCTGTTGGGCACAATTTATAAAGTTGATTGTCACACAATTGCACAATCCCAAGGCAAGTATGCAAGAGTATGCATTGAAATTGACACTTCTAAACCGCTTAAAGCATCTCCAAAGGAGATGTCAAATACCAAACATCAAATTTAAATTTGATGGCTGATGTGGCTATTTGACATCTTACACAGCTTTACATTCCACCCGATATGTCAAATTAAATTATTATTTTATTAAATTTTAGTGTTGATTTATTTTAAATTAAAAAGAAAAGAAAAGAAAAAATAATAAAATATTCATTTGACATCTTACTTTTGGGATGTCAAAAATAACATCTCAGCCTTCAGCCTTCATTCCACATCAGCTTTGATATATCGGTTGGAGTGATGTGAGATGTTATTTCTAGCTGTTAAAGGTCTATGTGGCACTTTTGACACATCGGTTGGAGATGCTCTTAAACCTTTTCTAATGGTTGAGAGAAAGCTGGTGAGAGTAGAATATGAGGTGTTGACGATGTGATACCCATGGACACTAGAGCTCAGCAAGTGGATGACAAGAGTAATAATTTGACTGATGAAGTTAATGGAAGGCTACCTGCGAATCCTAGTGCTAATGAAGGAAGAGTTGGGCATATGGACTTACAAGATCATGAACGGGGTAATCTTATGGATAGCACTGATCCAGGATTCAAAAGTCAGGTAGGCGAAACTTACCTTAAAAACTCGACTGTACGAGTGAATTTTATTGATAAAAATAAAAAGATATACCTAGTGAGGGGGGACGTAATGAGCCTTACCCTCAAATATGCATATCTATACATAAATAAAAGCTTAACCAAAAAAAAAAAAAAAACAAGAAGTAAATGCAATGCAACACAAAAACTAAACTATTTTAATCTAAAATTGTACCCTACGAGGCTTAGAAATCTTAAATTCTTCAATTATCTCACTTTTGCATAGCAAGATGATGTTGAGAAGGATTTGGCTGGAATTGCACTGCACAACCACTATTTGGCTGCTTAAGTTATATTCTTTCTTTTATTAAAGTTTGACTGGGCCATTCATAACATGGGCTGGCTGGTTATAATTTTTTTTTTCAGTTTTTTAAAGTTTGAGTGGGCTTGTGCTGTGGGTTTTATATGGATTGGGTAGGCAAGAATGTATACCAACACATGGAATGGATATCAATTACATAGCTTATATATAGGTTTTTTTTTTAGTGAAATATTTTTGGGTAGGCGGTAGCCTACCCTGCCCTGGCTTAAGATCCGCCTCTGGCACTGATGGTGCGTCAGTAGGGTTTGGCCCTTGGAACATGGTGGTTGGTAGAAATGGCTCAAAAAATGTGGTCTCCAATGACAATGGAAAGAAAGTACAAGGAAAACCTTATGTTGTTCAAGAACCAACAGGGTCACGATTTGATATTCTTCGACAGAATGACTCAGGGACTGTGAAGGAGGCTTCTAACGATGCTCAAAATGAGCCTGTAACTACTAAGACTATTTTTGGTAATCATGATTTCATGCAGGGGTTGGGGAAGCAGTTGGATAGTTCAACTAAGGAAGCTAATGATGCAAAAGAGAAGCATGCTATTGCTAATGGAAAAAAGAAAATAGGCAGACCAAAAAAATCTCTCAACAACGTCATCAACTCTAAGGTAAGTGCAGCCCAAAATGGTGACGTCTCGGGACCTAAGGCCAAACTCTGTGAGACAAGAGTAGCTGTTTCCAAAACCCCTAGGTCGAAGACTAGAATAGCTTACAAGCTACCTGCTCCAGTTTTGCACCACCATACAGTACTTATGTGCATGCACATAGTAATAAGGAGGGAAACACCGCAAACGGAAGTTTGATGAATATGCAGGTTGTGGTGCCAACATCACCTTGAGTGCTAGGATAAGGAATCCTAAAGAAGGCGAAGGTGTTCGATCAACAAATAATGTCACTAATGTGGGGAGGGTTTCTTCCGAATGGGATATATGTTCCATGGTCCCAGAAACTTGTGATGAGTCAAGGCCAATTGATTATATTCTAAATGGGGATGAAACCTCTTGCCATGCCTTCTCTCAATTAGGGGAGGTTGTGGGTTTGAATTGACCATCCTGTTTGGTCATACCATACCCGTAATTGCAATCATTATGTTAAACATTCTCTATTGGAACGTAAGGCGTGCGGGTAGAAAGCCTATGCAAAATGTAGTTAAGGACCATTATAGGGTCCATGAATTTAGTTTATGTGTGATGGTTGAGCCCAGGATTAGTGGGGCCAATTCATTAGAAGTCCTTAAAAGCTTGGGCTTTTCTAAGTTTAAGCATGTGGATGCTATAGGTTTTTCTGGAGGTATATGGGTTCTTTGGGATGATATGAGATGCAAGCTGGAGTGGTGGATTTTTTTGAACAGGTTATTTCAGCTTTGATCTTTCTCCCTTCTGGTCAAGGTTGGCTCTTCACTATGGTGTATGGAAGTTCGTGTGATACAAAGCGTGAGGCTCTTTGGCAACATTTAGATTCTATGGCAAAGGCTCATCAATATCCCTGGCTCATTATGGGAGATTTTAACGAATATTTATTTGCCCATGAGAAACGTAGTCCTCGGTCATCGTTTAAGGCTGGTGGCATGAAATTATGGGCGGAAAGAAATAGTCTTGTTGATTTGGGTTATACTGGGGCCAAATTCACTTGGCCTGATAAACGGGATACCGGGGCCCTAAATATGGTGAGACATGACAGAGGACTTTGCAACTTTCAATGGAGACTACTTTTTCTTGAAGCTTGTGTCAAACATCTCGCTAGGGCAAAATCAGACCATTGTCCGTTGCTCCTCCAGCTTGACCCAAGTTTTAGGTCCTAGCCACATCTTAAGCCCTTTCATTTTGAAGCCACGTGGCTTAAGCATGAAGGGTTCCAGCAGTTTGTGGCCGACTTTTGGGGCCAAGAAAATGGGAATTTACTGAATAAAAAACAAGGGAGCTATCAAAGCAGCTGGAAATTTGGAACTCCGAGGTTTTTGGTCATCTTAAACTTAGAAAAGGAGAGTTTTGGCTAGAATCGTTGGAGCTCAAAAAGTATTATGTGAACAACAAAATCCCTTCCTTATTAATTTAGAATTTGAGTTGCAAAAGGAATATTCACAAATTCTTGATCAGGAAGAGTTGTTATGGATGCAAAAATGAAGAGCCAACTGGCACAAAGATGGGGATAGAAATACTAAATTTTTTCACATGACGACGGTGGTTTGACGTAGAAGAAACAAAATTCTTGGTCTCAAAGATGACAATGGGAACTGGGTGACTAATAAAGAGGGCCTGAAAATATTGCTATCCATTATTTTCAAAAGTTGTTCTCTAACCATGAGATGTGGTGTGGTGGTAGCTCACCTCATCCCTTAACCATGAGGTTGGGAGTTCAATCCCCGCCCATGGGAATGGAGCACATTTCGTGGCCAGCTGTTTACCTCTTTTGGGAGAGTTCCCGAAGCGAAAGGGATTAGTCACTGCTGTTGGCGGTGGACACCCTTGGGTCTAACCAAAAAAAAAAAAAGTTGTTCTCTGATGATATGACTTGCACAAGTACTGCTACTCTCCCTAATTTTTTTCCTGTCACTGATTAGAGTTTTTTGGATAACTTGTTGGTCCCTGTGAGTAATAGTGAGATTAAAAATAGTATGTTTACAATTGGACCTTATAAAGCTCCTGGTCCGGATGGCTTTGTTGCGTGCTTTTACCAATAGTGCTGGGAAATATGTGGTGCTGAGGTGTGTGATTTGGTAAAGCAAGTTTTTACTACTGGGGAAATTCCATATGATCTCACTAGGACTTTAATTGTTCTAGTCCCAAAGGTGACTAGCCCGCTGTCTGTGGCGCAAATGAGGCGAATTAGTTTGTGTAACACCCTC